GGAAACATAAAAGAACACAAAGTGAAAACAGGCAAAGCTTGCCCATTTTTGTTGTTTTTATAGTCTTACCACTTTTCCAGTTTGGGTTGGACTGCCTTTGGCTCAGTAGATCCTACTGGCTTTGGGGAGCTCAGAAAGGCCAAAACAGAGCCTACAGGAAGAGGAAAAAGAGAACTGACTACTGAGGGCAGGCCCTAGGCACAAAATGGTTTCAAAAAGAAAAAAAAGTAACAAGATTTTTGAACTAAAAATGGAAAATGTAGTCTGACAAAAAATACTCGTACTACTTTACAGTGCAAGTAAAATCATACGAAAAAGTTGGATGCCCACATGTAGGTGTTTCTGGAACATGTCATATAATATTTAAAGCTGACGGGCATATGCACAAACAACGAGTGCGATGCGCACCTCCGGGGGAATGGACACACTTGAAGCTCGGACTTGCGGGGGAGGGAGGGTAAGGGCATCATACGTAACCTAATCATCTGTACCCCCATAACATGCTGGAAAAAAAAAAAAAAAAGGCTGAGAAGCCTAGGAAAATCTCTGCCAACTACTGCCAAACCAGTTAGCCCAGTTCACCAGGGTCACACGGGCAGAGGTTAGATAAAACGTTTTGTGTTCTAGGAAAATATGGCTAGACCACCCTACTTGTACCATTGGGGCGGAGTATAAATCAGCATAACCATTTGAAGTGATACAAATCAAAAACTATATAAAAGGGTTCATACCCTTAACCAGAAATTCCATCTCTAAGAATTTATCCTAAGTAAATAATTTATGCACAAAGATATTCACTGTGGCGTTATGAGATGGAATCTAAACTGTTCAGTGGGAAAAGGCTATACGAACAATGGCACATCCATACGATGGAATATCATGAAATTAATAATAGCTGACATAGGTTTTGATGATATGAAATGCCTGTAGACTGAGGGAAAAAACCAGGACACAAATTATACTGAGAATGAAATGAATCAAACTATGTAAAAACATACACAAGTAGCAAAGAGACTGGCAAGTAATATGTAAAAATATTAAAAGTGATTTTTTTTCCTGGTGATAGAATTATAAGCAATTGTTATTTTTCTTTATACTTTTCTGTATTGTCTAAATTTTCCACAATGAGAATATATTACTGACATAAACAGAAAAAACAAAAACATTATTCAACCAGGCAAACATTAAAGGAGGACAGACATTTTTATATAGCTTTATTTGTTTCTTTAGGAGTTGCAGTGGTTCCTAACCAAAAAAACGGGGAGGGAGTGGAGATTACACATCAGTCATTTATTTGACAGGAGCATGAGACTCTTGAAAAGCAGAGAAAGTCTTAAATTCTTTTCCACATGTTTCGCCATATTCATGTAGAACTGTAGCAGAAGAGATGGTGATTCAGGTCGAACTGATCACCAATCTAAACGACAACTCCAAGCTCCCACACCACAAGAACCCAGGGACACTAAATCCAATGTCAGACAGTTTAAATGGTGTATTGCTGCTTTATCATTTTCTAAGAGAAAAAGAGCTGGGGAGTGATGGGAATGTCATTATGGCAACCCATAAAAATGGAGAAAATCTTGCAGAAATAAGAGAAGTGTTTACTAAATAAAGAACGGAAGAGTTAAGTACCTTTTTTTAAACCAATTGAAGGCTAGATAGAAATGAAAGGCATACCTGTAAATTAAATTCATGCTCTTTAAAAATTGCCTTTACTTAAAAATACAAAAATGTCAACTAATGAATACTTTATTGGCAGAAAAAAGACAACGTGGTTACTAAATGGTGAATGTCCACGACTGGTCTGAAGACAGAATGTCTGAATATCAAAGTCAGAACAGTCTCTGTTCAACACAATCCAACATCTTACCTTTGTTCAAATTCCTTAAGACTGCCCTAAGGAAGACTTGTTCTATACCAAGAGTTATGGATCAACTTACTCTATCCCCTACCTATGCATTGTATTTTCATTCTAGCTGTTCTCAAACACATCAGATAAATGCCACATAACCTAAATTCACCTCAACTGTTTCATTTGGCCTTTACAATTATTCTAGGACACATGCCAAGGATTTATGTCTTCTGACCGGAAATGGAAATCAAATCCTCAAGTGGCTCACCTAAGGGTCAGAAAGTGAAAAATAAAAGCCGACCTTAGGCATGAAGCTATATTCAGCACCAATTACACCGTCAACAGTTACCAAAGAAAGAAAAGCCCTTAATATTTCAAAGTAAAGAAAGACACAAATACAAGTTGGCCAAGTGATTCTAAGAGACTAGTAACTGCAGTTCCTTTCCTTAAACAAGATAATCGCTGGTTGGCTGACAGAATCTAAGTAACAGCTAAGATGACCCCTCTGAAACTCCTTTATACTTGGTTAAGAAGAAATCTGGGCTAGCAAAATAAACTGCTAAAGTGTCAGGGTCTTGGCAAAAATAGTGCCCATAGTAAACAAAGGATAATGGCTTAATAATCATGATGCTGCCATACGGCCCCAAAGGCATAAAGAAAAGTACTCACCTTTAAAGATACATACACAATGTAAGCCCCGATTTTAAGATTATAAACTTCAAAGTGTATTTTTTAAAATGCAAGGCGCCTGTCTGAGATAAATTAAAAATTTATATGTAATTTCAATGTAAAACACCAAAAATGAACATTAAAACTGTTCACAGAAAATAGTGAAAAAGAAACAAATTACAACTACAAAAGCACAGTTACCAGTTACGAGAACTAAGCAAACAAACTAATTTCTATTAATATTTTCATTTACCTTATAAAACTTTGTTCATTAAATTGGGGGGAGGGAGCCTCTTAGAATCTAAAGGGTAACAAAGTAACAAATATACATCATTTCTTTATTAACAAATTATGCCACACAAAGCAAATTACTTTTTCTATCTGATTACAGAGTCAACAGAAATTTCATCTGTACTTACAGCAGCAACACAAAATTAAGGAGAAATTCTGTATCAGGACCAAAAAACTGTAACATGGTTTGGAAATCTAATGACTAAGAAGGTAAAAGTGGCAACTAAGGTGTTACTGCTGGAGGCTTCAGGGTCTGTTTTCTCCACATTTTTGATAATAAGCATCCCTTGCAATGGGATGATACATTAAATAAGGGAATATGCAGTCAAAGAAGGGATATGTGGAAAACCCCACAAAATTAAATCAGCACAAAAAGAGCATATGAGGGCCACGAAAACTTAAGAGGGTGTAAAACACCAAGCAAGGACAAGTCAGCTCCCTGGAGTTGCACCAACTCTGAAGTAGTACGTCCTATTCTAACTGAAACTGGAGAGTCCTCACAGGGCACTTCTGTTTGAGAAATCAATTGCTTGGATCAGCCATTTGAGGAAAAAAAAAAAAAAGGCCTTTGTTTTTAAAGTAGATAGAGCTTAGGGAAAGCTAAACATCAGGAAAGTACTAAATCCCTGTGAAGTAAAAAATGATTTAGGAAGCCAAATGAAGCAAACTATAAAATTTGGATGAAAATGTTTAGTCTAAGAGTAAAACTCAGTTTTCTGAGTGATGTAAAATCAAACACACTATAAGAGAGTTTTCAAAGTGCACCCAGTACCACCTCAGTAGTTCCTGAGAGTTTGGGGGTGGCACAGAGCGAGATACGAAGTAGGTTCTGGCCCATTCTCCCCAACCCTTCCTCACTTGAACTCAAACATTTCTAATTCTCTTTTGTGGTTTCAGTGAAGATTTCCTTTAAAAAAAGGAAAAAGAAACTTGATGCTGTCCCCATTCCTTGGTATTGTTCATTTTTTCCCTAAGTTTGAAAATCACTGTGGAGACTGAAATTACATTGGTGAGAAATATGATCAGAGACCTAAAACATATTTTTTATGTCAGTGCTACTAAAATATGAGAAGTTTCAACAAAGATTTGTATACTAGTCTGTAAAATGAGCAAATTAAGTTCTTAGGAAGAAAGTAAATTTTGTTATTACCACCCCCCAAAATCTCTTCTGCTGCTGCCTCCAAGCTATCAACATTTGACAGTGTGAACAAAATTCTAATCAACATTTCAGTCACACCTTACCCCCAAAACATTTAATTCAATGGCTGCATAGAATTTCTTTTGAGAAGGCAAGCCCCAAATTTATAGGAAACTCTAGAATGAGAATGTACAGTTACCAAAAATAACACGTCATGTCAGGGTAGAATATGCATCGTGTTCTTAAACATAATCACTAATATAGAGCAGCCAAATCCCAGAACTTCACTCTGCATTCATTAGCAAACAATGTCAAAGTATAAATGATAACCAGGAAAAAATGCTAACACAAAGGCCATTTTCTCTGATGGGATCACGAAGAAAAGTGGAACTTTAGGAAGAAAAGTGAAACCCAAGCTTTGGCCACTTATGGAAACTTCATTACTTCAACAAAAGAGAACAAATCTCCGTGGAAAGGACTCATTTGGCAAACATCAGTTCTTTCCATGTATTTTTCCCCTTCACATCAGGTTAAACAGAAGTTGCTGTCATTCTAGAATCAATGATTTACAACTTTTTTTAATTAGAAAAAAGTTTACTTGAATATTTACATAATTTTTATTGCTGTTTATTATAACAAAAACATTTTTTTAACTGATTTGTAGGATCCATCCATTAATGTATGAAATTGAAATCCATCTCTCCAGAAGATACAGTTATGGCTGAATTACTCTGAAGCTCAGAGTTCAGCGTGAGTAAGAAAAATCCTTGCATGTCATTTGGTTCTTGCTGCAGTCATCTGTGTTCATCTCCCAGAAAGCAAAAGAATCCATCTGACTTTCAATAAATATCAAAGTAATTGCCAAAAAAAAATAGTTTCCACAGTCTAGAGATCCAAGAAAGAGCAGTTTTGATGAATAATTCCCCAGAATCAAGTGCGCTGTCCTTTAGTCCAATGAGATGATGTCAGGAATGTTGCTTCCACTGCTGGTTATGACCCCTGTTTCACTCCTGCTGCTGGAGGAACTAACATGAGTATTGCTCTCATGGGGGCTGGTGGTGGTGACAGACGTACTGCTTGCTGTTAAGGGTGAGGTCAGACTATCCAAAAACATAGGAGGACAGTACTGCTTGAAACAAACAATGATGCCGATGAGGAAGAGGCTACATTGATTTTAAATAAAGAGACTAGAAATTGTTAGATATGCACAAGTGATAGCCACATACTTAAATCCCAACGGGATTTAAAAATTTCTCAAAACTTCACATCTTTGGGTGGAAGGTGGCATGAATTTAGCATTTTACACTAGTGAATGGAGCATACTTTTGACTCTCTCAAAACTTATGGAACTTGTTTGTTGACCATATACACAGGTAAAAGTACAAATAATGTCAACAACAACTGAAGTCATTTAATACTAAATACTGGCCCCACAAGTACAACCCATATTTAATCTCAAAAAGAATCTGCTAAGCATTTTAGTTGGGGTTTAAATCACACCGTAAAGACTAGTAAGTGCTTATTTTTAATGCTATTAAGCAAAACTGCTAATGTAAAACTCAATAATGACAACGTTCATTCTAAAACAGAGACTACATGGTACCTAACTACCACGGGATGTAATCACAAAATTCTGGAATAAATCTTAAAGGAGATCTAACCTAATCTTCCTTGTGATGTATAACATCGCTTTCCTAGTGCTCGTATTTCAAGTCCCCTTACAATCCTGGTTGCTGATTCCCAAATTGGTACAAACCTGAGTGTAATACTCTAATATTGACCAAGGAGTGGAGACAGACGAGAGCTAAAAGCTTTATTTTATATCACTGTAGAATATTTTATGTGAGAAACAATTGTACTGACTTTAGCAAAGAGAAGTCTAGTAATATAACGCAAGAGGAGATGCCCTAAATTTGTTATTAGTTCAACTTCATGAAAGATCAGTAAGGAGATCTGATTCATATTATCCACTCTATATATTATTCAGTTTATCATCAGAGACACTAAATTACGGAACATGAATTTAAAAGTGAAGTTGTTTAGACTACATGGTTTCAAGGCCCATAAATAAAATGGGAATAACAGCCCCAGGCTCAAGCTACCTGTCAGAGTAACATAGCAACAACTAAAATTCAGGCTGCTCTTCAAAAGAGTAAGTTATTTAATGTTTTAGATAGGCAACTGTCTTGGTTTATCAAAAAAATCAACAACACACAAAGAGAAATCAAGGGACATTGGTTAAGGGGGATAAGAATAGTTCTTAAAAGAGCTTCTAAGGAGCTCTAAAGATAGTTGAATTGTCAGGCACTAAAATTCGTCTCGAAAAATCAAATCAATTTCTAATTTTCCATTAAAATTGGCAGGTAAATCTGGAAAAACGCCCAGAAACTTACATTTTATTCCCGCTGCCCTCTAAGGCAGTTTTTGATTGCCTCATGGCAAAAGATACTCTTCTTCATTTATGAAATTAGTGCTAAATGCTACAGTGCTGCCATAAGTGGTCTCTGTGCCTTGAATTCTTATAGTGCTCGGGTTGCAGCCATTTTACTACTAACCCTGTATCCCTTCCATACATGTATTAATGAGAGGTATTAAGGGGCAATGTGAAGGTAAAGTAGAAAAACCTAAGGATTCTACGGTAAACCAAAGACACAACCTCGCCCTTCTACCTACTTATCAAATAAGTTAGACTGCCACTAAGCACGCCAAATAGAGATATGAAATAAAAACCTCTAGGTTCCAAGGTATTTTTTTTTTTTTTAAAAAAAAAAGGATTCGTCACATAAAAATTGGCAGTAATCCTTTAAGCCTGAAGAATTCATTTCCTAGAAAAAAATATATACACCTTTGCTATGTGTACCTTTGTTACATCTACTGATGTAACAATGTCGACTCAGGATGACAAGAAATTCCTCATCTGCACAGTACCCTGGGCCCAAATTTCCAGTGATGTCTGTGTGATCAGATAACAGAACACTGAAACTGGAGGCGCATACTAGGCCTGTGATTAACTGACTATGAGAAGCCTGGAGCAGTGATCCCGTGGTTCTTCCTCTCTTCCTCCCTACTCTCAACACCTTGTCTCAAAAAGTCTTTCTCTTTTTCACTTTTCTTATGCCTTTTTCTCTTCTGCTCTGCATCTGCTATAAGCCTGTGAGTGGAATCCACGCTCACTGCAAGGTCTTCATGTTGGGACTTTGGGCTACTAGAGTTTATCATCTTTGACAAAGAAAACAGGGACGATTGGTACATAGAAACTTTAAACTGGGGCATCCCCAAAGTCCAAATCTGACTGTCTTTAAAAACAATGATCAAGCTAATGAGTCAAGTCTGTTTAATCTGCTATAGCTGTTGATTTTCTATATAATAAATGTATCATCTAAAAAATAAAATTTTACCTGTAAAATTTTATCCTCCAGCCACCTAGCACTGCTTCCACTCACTCTAATCACTCAAATGCTTGTAAGAGATGCCAGATGATTAAGCTAAATAAAATATAACTAAAAATTTAGATATTAAGGACAAAATATCATACACTGAAAACAGCAACTTTATTCCTCCAAATAGAATTGTGAAATATTTATATAGTACTTCCGTTCCATCAAAAATTGAGAGTTGACTGTCCTGATTTTATGCAACTGGTCATTTTTAGTTAGCATGACAAAACCAACAATCAAATACAAATTAGTTGCTTAAATTCAGGATACATACCTGGGGATCAACTGGAATAAGGGAAAGAAAATCCAAACCTAAAACAAAAATGCTTTGTTAATAGTTGTCTCATATTTGGAGACCAGAATTATTTCCCAAAGTCATTTTTATTTATCATTAAGTCACAAAACATTTGGGGTGTTTACCACTCTGCCACAAGGAAGCTCTATACCATCATCAGTGATACTTAATGTGTAAAAAACCCAAAGGTGAACATATTCCCTGACAAAACAACTGGGAAAACCACCTCCCAGGGACTCAAAGGCAGCAGTCCCAAAATTTCCAGAGAATTAGGAATAGTCAAAGCAAATGTCCCCTCTTCCTCTGCCACTCAGAATTAGAAGCAATAAAAATAATGAGATGATGATCTGGATTCGTACCATTTAAAAAAAAAAAAAA